TACAGTAAAATTAGCAAAAATGTATTCCCCATATTCATCACTAAAGCAAGTGGTGCTATACAAGATAATTGGTTAGAGTAATAGATTGCAATACCACCCCCAACTTGGTTTGGTCTGCAGTTGTGAATTGCTGTGTATCCTGGTAGAGGGTAGATATCTATTGTGTCCTGCTTAAGCCAGGTCTCAGTAAGAATAATGCAGGAGAAGGGTGTCTTTAGTGATTCAAGGAGTGCCAGGAGGTCATCATAGTGTTTGCTTAAGGACCTGATGTTGTAGTTAAGTACTGATAGGCTTTTAGCATTGTTTAGGATAGTGCTGGCTTGTGATGCTGTGTAATAAAGGCAGTTACTTTCCAATAGGTTTTGATTGGGTGTCAGATTATGGAGGTTTAGATCAGGGTCAATGTGATCAATCATCTTCTAGGTTTAAATTATGGTTATTTATATCCTGAGTTATGTGTTGAGTTCTAGTACTGATATCTGTAGTGGTGGGAAGCTTGGATAAGTATATAGCTAGAGTATTTTGGTCATATAGAGTATAGTGACTTATTTTGCAGGTGCAATCACTAAAAATGATGTGATAATATGAAATGTTCCGATTGTATGTTTGGATGGGACCGCGGTGGCTGGCTGGCTTGTAAACACTGGCCACAAGTGGACGCGTCTCAAACGCAACGAATCGCATTAGTCGAGTTTTTTAGCGCTAGTTGAGGCAAAATTTTTGCATTAAAATGTATCGCTACTCAGATTTAATGTTAGACGATGTCATCGTTGGTCGAGGGTCCACTGTATAACAAAAAAAAAAATGTAGATCAAAGGTTTTTTTACACTTTTTCAAATGTAAAAAAAGAAAAGAAGATCTACTTTTTTAACATACTTTCAAATGTTGAAAAAACGTAGATCTACGTTTGGACAGTTTAAGGGTTAAAGGTAATATATTTTCAAACTTCTCACATTCCACAGTTTAATATTTACCAATTTCTCAAAGGCAGTCACCCCTTTTCTGACTACATCTTGGTACTGTACTCAGTGACAAAGCTAGGGGCATAGCATGGGAAGCATTTGCTTCCCCTGAACACACTGGACACCATTTTTGCCCTTGCCATTTTAACCCTTAAACTGTCCAAACATAGATCTACATTTTTACCGCTTGTGCTCCAAACGTAGATCAATGATTTTTTCCTGCCTCCAAATTTGGCACAATTGGCCTGAGATGCCTGGTCTTAATACTCAGTGTGCGCAGTATTAAAAAAGTCTGGAACCACTTAGTAACTTGTGGGAGCACCAGTTAAAGCAAACAGAGTGGCAAGGGGTTCACTGATGCCATGTTGTATTAACACTCCCCTTTTAAGAGGAAAGTGATGTTGACCCCACGTTTAGTGGCTTTGAGATGGATGTGGCCACAAGTGGTTGAGGAAATATCATAAACCTCTATAATAACCCATGTGCAACATCCTTTCAATTTTGATACCACTGGTAGTGGTATCAAATCCTGCCAGAACATCCTATAACCTATGCCCTAATTAAAGAGAAACGATTCTGGAACATGTAATACGTGTTCGGCAGGCCAGCTGACTGGCTATGTGGCCGGCTGGCTGAATGACTGACTGGGTGGATGGCTAGCTGATTGACTTTGGCTGTCTATGTCTCTGTCTGTCTGGATCTATCTCTGTCTCTATCTCACAGGTACACATAAGTACAGTTATATATTATACATAGTGTAAATTACATAGGATAACCCAAAAAATCCAGACAAAATGCTATACATGTACTGTACTTGTAGATATAAGGCATAATAAGCATGTAATATGCACTTTCACTTGATCAAGAATCAGACATGATGACTGCA